TGAAACAGAATCACAAATGACTCAAATATGGAGCTATCAGTAAAGAATTTTAAATAACCATAAGTAATATGTTCAAGAAGAGGAAAAGATGAATAAAAGTGATTTTTCTTAAAGATGGAGAACTTCAACAAAGAACTGACATTTATTTTTAAAAATTAAATGAACATTCTAGAAATGAAATATAAGATATATGAAATTAAAAAGGCATTGCGTGGGTTTTACAGCAGTCAGGATACAGTAGAAGACAGGACTGTTAACCTAGAAAATGAACCAACAGAAAATATTCAAGAAAGAACAAAAACACACTCACAAAAAAGAAAAATAGGTGGAAAGATTTAATATAAGAAAAATTTTAATTCTTAGTCTCTACATTTAATTCTGCCCTATTAAAAACACAATCTTTGTGGGTGACAGTGACTAGACAAGCTGATTTGAAGTTAATATGAGAAAAAAAGAATAGAGAAATACTGGGAAAAAAAAAAGAAAAGACCAATGAAGGAAGACTTTTCTAATCAATATCAAGACACATTATAAAGCTACAATAATTATGAAATTGACAGGCAAATCATTGAAGGTCCAGAAACGTATCAAAAACATTTTTGGGGGCACCTGGGTGGCTCAGTCGGTTAAGCATCTGCCTTCGGCTCAAGTCATGATCCCGGGGTCCTGGGATCGAGCCCCATGTCGGGCTCCCTGCTCAGCGGGAAGTCCGCTTCTCTCTCTCTCTCTCTCCCTCTGCCCCCTCTCCCCTTAGTGTTCTCTCTCTCAAATAAACAAATAAAATCTTAAAAAAAAAAAAACCTTTTTGGGGGGGCACCTGGGTGGCTCAGTCAGTTAAGCGTTAGACTCTTGATTTTGGCTCAGGTCATAATCTCAGAGTCATGAGATCAAGCCCCACATCTGGCTCCATGCTGGTTGTGAAGGCTGCTTAGGATTCTCCCACTCCCTCTCCCTCTCCCTCTCCCTCAAAAAACCAAAAACAAAACACCATATTTTTAACTTTGTGGATGACCACAGTGATATTTCAAATTGGTGGGGAAAAGTTAGATTTTGAAATAAATAGTATTTAGATAACTAGGAAGTAATATGGAAAAGAAAAACTTAAACCCATTTTCTTCACTTTACATCAATACAAATTCTAGATGATAAACTACTTAAATGTAAGAAAAAAAAACTAAAATAGCAATAAAACATGGGAGGGTGACTTTTATAACCTTAAGTAGGGCAAGCTGAGTATGACACAAACCCAAAAAGCCTTAAGGTATTAATACAACTACATAAAAAACATGTATAAAAGGGGTGCCTGGGTGGCTCAGTCAGTTAAATGTCTAACTCTTGATCTCAGCTCAGGTCTCAATCCCAGGGTTCTAAGTTCAAGCCCCACACTGGGCCCCACGATGGTGTGGAGCCTACTTAAAAAAGAAAAAAATCATATATAGCAAAAGCTAGTATAAGTCAAAATTCAAATGACAAAAAGGAAAAATATATATATATTAGTTTATATCACCAAGGGCTCACTTTTCTAATAAATAAAACATTCCCACATATTCATAGGACAAAAAAAAAATGTAACAGAAAAATAAACAATGGATATGAAGTTTCAAGTTAACAACAAAAAGGAATGTAATTAATATTAAAATGTGCAAAAGTACCCAATCTCTTGTAAAGAGAAATACAATTTTAAAGTACGGGATAGGGGCACCTGGGTGGCTCAGTCATTAAGTGTCTGCCTTCGGCTCAGGTCATGATCCCAGGGTCCTGGGATCGAGCCCCACATCGGGCTCCCTGCTCAGCAGGAGGCCTGTTTCTCCCTCTCCCACTCCCCCTGCTTGTGTTCCCTCTCTCACTGTGTCTGTCAAATAAATAAAATCTTAAAAATAAAATAAAATAAAATAAAATAAAATAAAGTATGGGATAAATTTTGTTATGTATATTTTACCTTGATAAAAAAAAAATACAAGTGACAGCATTTTTCACCATTGAGAATGGCAAAAATCAAAAAGTTTGTTACCGTACTATGTTGGAGGAGAATACAAAGAAACAAAATATGGTGAGAATACAAATACTAGGGAAAATAGATATAAATACTAGGGAAAATAAAATTCCATAATATCTACCAAATTTATCAGTGTTCACTGTGATCCAACAATTCCATTTTTAGGAATCTACCCTGTAAGATTTCCAAACATATGAAAATGATACATACACAAAGTTTCCCTGTGCAGCACTGTCTGAATTGGTAAAGTGTAAACATCCATAAGCAAATCAAAAAGAACCAACATTTATATTGATATGGATAATTTCAGTACCAGAATTATAAACATGGCATACTATCATTTGTGTATTAAAAGGAAATATATATAGGTATATGCTTATACTTATTTACTTATACATGTGAATGTATGCAAATATATAAAACCCCTACATGTATACACACACACCTAATTGCTTGTTTTTGTAACACCTCTGAAGGGATACACAATAAACTGGTACACCATTGTCTGACTTCAAGGCAGGGAACTGAGTAAGAGGAAGATTTTTTTTAATCTTTTGTACCTTATGAATTTTAAGCCATATGAATGTATTATTTGTTCAAAACAGTAAAATTTTAAAAATAATAAATGCTGACAGAAAGAAGAGTGCTAGCTAAATCAACTTCTACAGTTAAAATCCTTGGACAGTTCCCCACTTCCAAACTTCTAACTCTGACATTCAAAGTTTTCCTATATGGCATACTTCTTTTCAACTATGTCAACTATGCTCCACAAAAATATCTTAGCCTCTAGGCAAATTAGACTTCTTTCCTTACATTTAACTAAAAAAAATTTTAAGCTACAATAAGCAATGTTTGACATAAAATTTGTGTACCAAATACGAAAAATGCCAGAGTACATGAGCAAAAACTATATCCCCTCCAGTCTGGAACTTTAAGTCTCTTCAGTTGTTTCAGCTATTTGATGGACAAATTTTCCTGAAGGGAAACATTGGTAGAGGAATGTCAGTAGATTTCAAGAAGTCCCTATGGTACTGTCTGCAGCTACAATCCATATATATGGTTTCCCAAATATTAAGTAACATTTGGATGGTGGGAAAAGGACAATTTACCTTCTCGGTGAGTCAAGTCCCTGACTTATTACTCAAAAAAGCAGAAAGCAAAAATGGGATTCCTATTAGACTTTCTTCAAAACATTTGTTTTTCCTCTCTGTAAGCCTACACAGACAACAATTAATGGTTTCCCTAACGGAAACTACCAATGCCTAAATAATTTATATTCATGAAATGGTGTCATGACCACAATTAGATTAGAAGGGAGAGATCAGAGAAAATGTACTTGGAATACAATGTGAAATACAGTTTTCAAAAAAAACTGTGGCCAAGTTCCATAACCCTTACTAAACTCCTAATGCTGACTCTTACTTTGTAAAAACCTGTTTTCCCACAAAAGAAGCTCCCTACCTTTCACTTAGAACAAAGAGCAATCTTAAATAAAATAGATCTGTGGATTCTTTAATACCAAACAAATCTAAACTAGAAACAAAGGGCTACTTCTCTCCATATTTGGCTCCCCTCCATCATCTCTACAATACTGCTGCATCATAAGAAAAGGCTATTATTAGCATATATTGGATATTACTTTTAATCCTTCATAAATACTTCTGATGTTACCATGGCAATAAAAAATTTTTGCTTCTTGGGGACGGAGCTTACGTTAGAGAATAAAAATTAGGCCTGTATAAAAGAAGTTATGATGAACTCTCAAAGTAGTACAACTTTTAACGCCTCCCATAAGGAAATTGTTTCAAATTATGTAAACTTAAATATAAGATTATAAGCTAACCAGTTAACTGCTACTCATTTTAATTAAAATGTATATGTCACTTAAAATCGGAAACAACATAAATGCAAAGTAAATGACTGCTTATCCATACCAAGATTTCTGTTATTTTAATTCCTCTATCACTATAGCTTTTTAACTAATGTCCAAGGACTGCTTTGTAATGCATATTGTTCTTTAGAGAATTAACACTTTAGTGAGGTGGAAGTACTATTTTCTGTGCACTTAAAGTATCCCTGCAAGCTCTACATAAGCAAGTCGAAGCAAGGTCTCCTCATTTCCAATATGATTTTACTCTTTTGCATATCATTGCTTCCCGCAAGTTCAACTCACCTCAACGACACAGGGTGTTAGTCGGAATAACGGTGAGATCAATAAGCAAGCATCCGCCTAGGTGTAGCAGCCTTCCTACGGCAGTTAATGAGGCAGAGGCACCATCCCGGATTTTGAAAATGACATCCTGAAAGAGAAACCAAGTCTATCTAACCTGCAGCAGCTCACAGGCCAGTTGAAGGAGAGCAATGAGACTCCCACTCCCTACACGAGACTTTGGCTGACCCCTCAGGCTTGATTTCCTCCCGCCTCCGGCAACGCCCCGTGAGACAGGTCCACACTACTTGGGGCAAACAAATTGGTTTCCGAGCCCCTTGGAAACGGCGGGCGGCGGCAGGGGGAGTGCCCGGGTTACCGCCCCTGCAACTTCACAGAGGTTGTTGCTAGTGGCCTCGGCAGGATGGGGGTGGGGAGATGGCATTTGGGACTGGGAGGCTACCTGCCTGTCACGTCCTTCTGCCTCGCAACGCCGGTACTGGACTCGGAGCTACGCGGAGAGCTGCTTACGACTCGGAGCTGACGACTCTGCACCCTAGCGCCCCAAAACCCTAGAGCGAATGCAGAGGAAGGGGGAGCGGCCGGCGCGTCACTGGCGCTGGCGTGTGACGTCAGCGCGCGGAAGCCGGCGCGCATTGGGGGTGGTGGGGAAGGAGGGGCGCGGAGGGGCGGAGCCAAGGCACAGCAGGTGGGAGATGATGCGGGAGAAGGAAAAGATGAAAAGGAAGGAAAGGAGTAAGGCAGAGATGAGGGCTAGAGCTCAATAATAGAAGCTGATTTTGAATAAAGCATTTTATAAATTTGTCCCACATATACTACACAGAGAAAGGGATTTTTTTTTACGTGAAGTCTGTTACTTAGGGATACCGCATTTTTAAAAGTAATTTTGCTTTAAAAAGCTAGCCTTTTTCTAGCACATTTTGGATGATTAAAGCAAGAAACTATTTTTAAGTATTGAAAATTTTTTAGAAGACTATAATGTGGCTTTCTACACATTTACATCCAATGTGTGTATAAATTACTTGCTGGTATATTGAAAGATGGTTGAACTTTAAGGCAGGACTTTAAAAGATAAGAACAGATTTTCTTGTTTAAGGGATTAGGTCTATTGTCCTTAATAGCCCTATGGCTAAATTGCCTTACCTTGAGTACCTCTGAGATACTGGAGAATCCAAATTTGAAGCTGTAGGAGGATGATAGCTTGTCTACTACATAAGTTACACTCCAGGTTGTACCTGTTGTACATGTGATGTATGTAGCCCCCTGGAGTGTTCACAGATTTTTGCCAGAAACCTCAGAGGTCAAAGATTCAGATCATTGCTTCAACGAAATCTGCTTCCTTCTCTCTCATCCTCTCTCCAACACACTAAAACCCAAGACCTCTCCGAGTTTTTCCAGTTTTTGGTTTAGCCATGCTTTTATAAGAAACACTTAAAAAGCAAAAAGAAAAAAAAATACTTTATTACTAGCGTGGAAATTGAAAGTTTTTGGCTTCTTTGCCAGAAGATGGCACTGCAAGTCATCTAACCTGGCAAATTGGAGAAAATCTGCTTTGGTTTATCTCCTCTTCAATCTCCACCCAAGCAAAAGACTTGTTTTCCTCATTTTCTCATTTCTAGGCTAACCTCCTGTGACCCCTCCCACCTACAGTTAGTAGGAATTTTGGTGTCTGAATGCACAATAACTCTAGTGCTACCCACGTACTTTTGTACAACAAAGCAACATAAGAATGTTGCCAATTGCCGATCTAAGTAAATTCTCTTTTGCCGCTTTCATGAAGAATGGCTAGTCAGATACCTCCTTAGATCATTTTTCAGGCTCCTGTCATGGACTGTTGGTGGGAACATAAAATGCAACAGTCTTTGTAGAAGGTATGCTAGCAATATGCATATCCTTTTGACTTCTTTTGCCAATTCTGTAAAATAGCACCATACAACATGCCACTCCCAGAGTGATAGAATTGCTGGCATAAGGGAATGGCTTAGGGGCACCTGAGTGACTCAGTCATTAGGCGTCTGCCTTTGGATCAGGTCATGATCCCAGAGTCCTGGGATCGAGCCCCGCATTGGGCTCCCTGCTCAGCCAGGAGCCTGCTTCTCCCTCTCCTGCTCCCCCTGCTTGTGTTCCCTCTCTAGCTGTCTCTGTGTGTCAAGTAGAAAATCTTAAAAAAAAAAATAAAATAAAAAAAGAAGGGAATGGCTTGTACAACCTCCATTCACTGGTAATCTCTACCATTTGTTTCTCTGTATCTGCCAGGGTAGCAGCAAGACGAGTGAACAAGCAGTTCTAGACCTGGTTGGAAAAGAGAAACTCTTAACACTGCAAGTTATTCTTTTTTCCCCTTCCCTGAAGGCTTAAAGATTTTGTTGGCTGGTTAGAGGGGAGGGAGTAAAGCTAATCTGAGTATTGGTAGAGTTTTTGTTATTAATGCTTCAGCTCAGTTCTAATCAAAAGAAACTATAATTTCCAGTACAACAACCTGATTTTATTCACATAACTTATTTTGCTATGCCTCCAAATATTTCCTATATGCTGAGGGCTTACTAATTTTTGCTTGTTTGGGTTTTTTTCCAATTTTATTAAGATATCATTGACATACAACACTGTATAAGTTTAAGATGTACAGTTTAATGATTTAACATATATATTATGAAATGGTTATCACAATAAGTTTAGTTAATATCCATGATTTCATATAAAGAAGAAAAAGTTGTTTTTCTCTTATAATGAGAACCTCTAGGATTTTTTCCCTTAACAACTTTCAAATATACTATACATCAGTCTTAACTATAGTCATGTTGTACATTATATTTCCAGTACTTAATTATCTTATAACTGAAAGTTTGTAGCTTTTGACACCTTTATCAAATCCCCCCATGTACCCCACCCTACTGAGGCCTTTTTAAAATGCATACTAAGATCTGTGGTCAAAAGATAAATTAAGCAACCAGAATAGGCAGAATAACGGCCACTCAGTTATGTCCCTGCCCCCAGTCCCTGGAATCTGTGAATATATTAGGTTACATGGCAAGGGGGAATTAAGGTTGCAGATGGAATTAAAGTTACTAATCAGCTGGCCTTAAAATAGGGAGATGATCCTCGATTATCCAGGTGGACCCAGTGTAATCACAAGAGTCCTTAAAAGTGAAAGAGGAAGGCAACAGAGTCAGAATCAGAGGGAAATGAGACTATGGAAAAAGTTTAGAATGATGTTATGAGAAGGACTCAACTCCGCTGTTGCTGGCTTTGAAGTTGCAAAAGACACAGAAATGGATTCTCCCCGAGAGCCTCTAGAAGGAGGCTAACACCTTTATTTTAGCTAGTGAGATTCAAGTTGAACTTCTAACCTACAGAACTCTAAGATAATAGACTTCTGTTGTTTCAAGCCACTAAATTTGTGGGAATTTGTTGCAATAGCATATTAATACAAACTCCTATTCTCTTAAGGTTCCAGGAGCAAAGTAGATCAGGCTGACAGGTAAATTATTTTTCTTGTGTAGGAAAAGCCCAAAGCTGGATCTGTAAAAACACCTTATTGGGAATTATCTCAGTCCAAGAAAGCTCCTTCTTAACCATCTTCCCTAAAGTAAAGGTTCTGGTAAGAACCCCAGTCAAACAGGATCCCTTCTGTAACACTTGCTGAGAAGGAATGAGATCAAGCTGGAAGTATTCACATTAGGACAAAGAAAATGTTCAAGGGCTTTCATTGGTTATAGTCCTTACCATGTAAAACACCCAAGTCTGTTGAAGAGATTTACCACCACTAGATTCTTCTAACAAAAATACTGGAGGAATTATAGAGAAGGTTCTTCCCCAGATGGAATTTATTGTTATATCACCAAAATATCACGTAGCACATTGTTTAGATAGATTGCCCCATGTACTGGTTCTGGGGCACCTGGGTGGCTCAGTCATTAAGCATCTGCCTTCGGCTCAGGACATGGTCCCAGAGTTCTGGGATCAAGTCATACATCGGGCTCCCTTCTCAGCGGGAAGCCTGCTTCTCCCTCTCCCACTCCCCCTGCTTGTGTGCCCTCTCTCGCTGTGTCTCTCTCTGTCAAATAAATAAATAAAATCTTAAAAAAAAACATAAAGTACTGGCTCTAACTGAATGCTGCTTATTAACTGGGAATAATTAGGAATATGCATGTTTAGGCCTAAACTTAGAATAATTAAAACAATTTCTGAGAGTGGAGCTCAAGCAAGAGTATTTTTTGAAGCTCCCTAGGTGCTTTTGATGCAAAGTGAAGGTTGAGAACTGCTGACAAGATGGTTGTATGTTAGAAATCATGGATTTCAAAATAAACACGTTCCTGTAAAGAAATAAGGTAGTGCACAGTATAAACAAAATTACAGAGAACAAAATGTGCAAGTCAACTCATTCTTGCCCACTTCCAAGAGATCCTTAGGATAATCCCCCATGTAGGAACTAATACACTACCATAAAAGGATTTAGGATTTATTTATAAAAGGATCATAGAAAGCAGATATGATTGATTAATAGCCTGTGACTATTATCTACTATTCTCAGAATCTCTGTGCTCCTTCCCAAAATTAGCCTACATATCTGCAGTGAGAGAAGAAAACATCTAATGTCTGTAAATCTCTGGTAAAATGTGTCCAACAGTGTTCTAAGTAAAATAATATTGTGCTTGGATATTACCATGGTTCCATGAATTCTACCTTGAATAAAATAATGAAAGAGTCATAAGAAGTTTGACTATATCGTAAACACCCCCATCATCACCATGGGCACAATACCAACTCTGTAGCCCAGAACTGTACTGTTTGAGAATATTCAATTCTGCCCTGGAAAAAAAAGAAATAGGATGGACATGTGTTAAGCACAGATAAAGTTACTAACCTGTGACATATGGGGGATAGATAAAGTCAGCAGGGCATATACTTGTGAACATAGGTAGAAAAGGCTAGAAAGACCAAGAGAGGCCTAATATTAATGAAGCGCTAAGCTTACAAGAGGAATCTAATGCTCATTGAGCACTATATATTCATGATACACTCAATATACACAAGACACTCAACATTCATGGGTCTTAATTCTGCCCCCCAGTGGTGACACTCATACTGTGTCCCACATGACCTTCTCCAAAGGTGCAAAACCTGCTCACCAGGTTAATTGACAAGCTACCGATGTGCCCAGGCACTCTTGTCCTTGCATCTCTTTGGTAGAGCCAGAGTGTCATTGGCTTAAGCATCTCCTGTCTCTGAACCTTTGCTCAAACATCAACTCTGGTCCTAATTACCTCACCATCAACAGGAAGGCTAATATGCCAAAAAGAGAGACAGGACATATGAGCATTGCATAACCACGTTTCAAATCATGGGTCTTTCCTCTCCATTTGTACCCTATCTTAAGTGTGTTAATTTTTTCCCCCCTTGCTTCTCATGGTATGTTAGCCTTTCTGTGACTTCTGGGATAGCTTGTCTGGTAGTATATTTGGGGGCTATCATTATACTAAGGTGATTTCCCACGTAACACCAAGCAGGTAATATTTGGATATTATTGGGACTGTGTGTTATAAAGAACTTTAAAACAGTGAAACTTTTGTCCAATATCCTATAATTTTTAACTCTGCACTCAAAAAAATACCAGTGTAGAATTTCCTGGCAACAAGGGGGAGAATCCTTAATTTTGGCAGGTCCTAAGATATGTCCTTAGACGAATTTTTAATCTTTAGGTTCTCCATATAAACCCTATTAACAATTTTTAGAATAGTCACTGTAATAGTTTTTTTTTTTTAATTACAAGAAGCCAAATTTCTTGATCCTACAAAGGTCACTTGAGTGGCCCTCTGATTACTGTGTATGTTGGGTGACTAGACCTCATTGTTCCAGGATTAGATAACAAGAATTTTGGAGTGTTTTGCCTGTTTAAGTGGCGTAGCCTGAGATTCAGACTTATGGAAATATGTGTGAACTCCTAGCTATAATTTTACACAAGACCTAGTGACAGGGAAGAGCAAAGGGGGTTATGACATAGTTACACTGAAAGAAACGTGATTTGTGGGTTAGTGCCAGCACGGAATCAGGAAGTGAATATAGTGATTTGAGTCTATGACATTGTCAGCTGGTAGAAATGGATAAACGAGCCTAGAAAAGCTAGTGCTTTAGCACTAGCTAAAATCCCAATATTGATGAAGCAAATATAGCAGAATTTTTGAATGTAGGTGACTGATCCTGTCATGCCCATGATATCAATACCATATTCAGCTATTTTAAGTTAAATTTAGACATCACAAACATAAGTTTTTAGTATTTATCATATACCTTAAAGAAATGAAAAAACATTGCATATGGGTATGCAATGTACTATTCTTTCAAATTTTCTGGACGTTTGGATATTTTTTCTTTCTTTTTTCTTTTTTCTTTTTTTATTATTTTTTTAAAAGATTTTATTTATTTATTTGAGAGAGAGAGAATGAGAGACAGAAAGAGGAAAGAGGGTCAGAAGGAGAAGCAGACTCCCTGCTGAGCAGGGAGCCCGATGTGGGACTCGAGCCCCGGACTCCAGGATCATGACCTGAGCCGAAGGCAGTCGCTTAACCAACTGAGCCACCCAGGCGCGCCTTTCTTTCTTTTTTAAAAAAGATTTTATTTATTGACTTGAGAGAGGGCGAGAGAGCAGAGAGGGAGAAGCCAACTCCCCGCTCTGAAAAGAGCCCCCACATGGGGCTCAAGGCCGGCTGGATCCCAGGACCCTGAGATCATGACCTGAGCAGAAGGCAGACGCTTAACGACTGAGCCACCCAGGTGCCCCATGGATATTTTCATAACAACCTTGGGAGAAAAACTACTTACAAACAAAACTTTCCAACCATCCCCAGTTACCAACGATAAAACAAACTCTTTAGCATAACTGCTGACTTCTGCATCATCTCAATTCATTATCCCCATACTACATCTTGCACATTATATTCAAGTAAGGATAACATATAACTAACTTTAGATTTCTTCCTCCCTTGCCTGAGGTTTTCACCAGGTACTGTTGGCTCCTTCCCTTGCGCCCCCACCCATTTCCCCCGCCTCAATTTTTTTTAAACTCCAGATCAGATGTTAACTCCTCTGTAAGGATTTCTTCCCACACTATACTTTCAGAAAAGTGCTCCTTTTCTTGAGCAGTCATTCATTACTGCACCGGAATATAAACCCCTTGAGCACGGGGGTCGGGTTTACTGAATTTTGGCTGGCACATGTTAATTTAATAAACGTTTGCTAAAAGTAAATAAATTCAATTCGGCCGTGTAGAATCCTCAAATTACGTATTTCCCCCAAACACTTAATTTCCAAGCATTAGTTTTGAAACTGCGTAATAGCTAAAATTGGGTTATCAGTTTTCTCTGCATGTATGTTGGGCACATAACCCTCAATGACATATAAAGCGCGGTGAGCCCCGCTGCATTCCCTGCTGGCGACTTAGAAACACAGACATCATTTGGTGCTGAAGGCCATTTCTCTCGATCTGTTTTTGGAAGTAGCGCTCGTGGACCGCTGCTTTTGCCTTTCGCTTTCGGGGCCGAAGCTTGCCGGGATTTCACGCGCTGCTCCGGTTCTTCTCCGGCCGGCGTGGAATCGGAGTTCCCGGGGACGCTGAGAACTGCGTGCGCCTGCGGCCTTCCGAGAATGTTTCTCCCAAGGCGGCCGCCTCCTGTCCTTTCGCGAGGTCACCAGAGGGGCAAACAGCGGAGCGTGAGTGACGTGAGCTATTCGCCAGCGAACGGTTTCACAGCCAGCGCGGCCCTTCAGGGCTGGCCAGCTCGCCTGGCTCCTCCTCCTGCTGCCCCAGCCCCGGCCCACCCACCGTTTCCACATTGCCCAATAGGCGCACGCGGCTCCAACCGCGGCCGGTGGAGGAGGTATTCGGCGGCCAGACGCTGAGCGGCCGTTCACGACAACGCGGTGACGTCACGCGTATACGCACCTGTCGGGCTCCCTTCTCCTGCTGTTTCTCTTCCCCTTCCGTGGCTCGGGGCCGGTCTGGTCCGGAACCCACAGACCCTTTTTCACAGTCCCTGTTCGCCCGCGGCCAGGATTTGGGCTGCGTAATGAGGAAGGAGGGTGTGGTGGGTTGAAAGGCATTCTACTTCATTTCCGAGTTGGAGCATGGATTCAGTGTTAGTCTTTTAAGAGGGAAGTGAGGTTGGAGATTTTTATTTTTTAATTTTGGGTGGAAGCAGTTGACTTTAGGGCCCTCCAAAGGAAGCGGATTTAACTTAATGCTGCTCCCGTGTTTGAAGGAGGACAAAAAAGGTCCCACCTGGCAAAATTTCCGTAACCTCTTCAGTAGAAAACCCAAGGTATCTTTTAAATTGCAGTAGTTTTTGTTGTGTCAAGCTTTCTTCAGGTGGAGCTCGCACGGTAGCTAGGTTTTTAGGTTTGAAACAGATGCAGAATCCAAAGGCAGCGCAAAAAACAGCCAGCGATTTTGCTATGCCTCTGAGCTGCAAGGTGAGTTGGATTGTATGAGTGAAGATTCGTTAGCTGTCATGTTCACGGATTTTGGGTCAACTGTGATGCCAGGGCTTTCGTCTTGGTTTGTCTTATAGCTACATGATGTCAAACCTACACTGATTAGGTATATACCCTCGGACATTCTTTTAAGATTTCGCCTATTTCCTTTAGGAACCGTCGAAGGACCTATGAATAGAGTGGAAGTAGGTCCCAGGAAAAGATTAATATTGAACTCAGAGTGGGTTTTACTTTTGCTAAAATTGCCCAAATTTAAGTTAGTATTCAGTTTTTCTATCTTTAGTCTAAATTTATGTGTATATCAAGACATAGTTTGTGTATATATGTAACATTTGTGTTTTGATATTAAACTTGGATCAGAAACTACCTTAGAATCTCAAATTAATTTTGCATATAATAGGCTTTATTTGTATAGTATTTAAAACTGGAGCACAGGAAGGTAATTAGCTATTATACATATGTATAAGATTTCTGAGATTTCTTTCTCTCTTGGAGGGAAAAAAACCCCCTTGTTTATAAGAACTGAATCAACCTTTTTTTTTTTTTTGGTAATTAGAAAGTTCAGTTCTGCAAACCGTAAACTTTTTTGAGCCATGCAGTTTAGTTACTGCAGCATCGTTGTGGCTTGTGTCATTGATTGTTGAATCTTTTCAGAAATGCTTTGCTTTTCATCTCTGAACAGTTTAATTTACAAGATTCTTTTCTTGATGAGGTCGGTATGGAAATAGTTTAACTGATGTCAGTCAATTTTATGTGCCTTTGTGAGTCACTAGAAAATACTATCTGTGTAGCTCAAGAGTACATATAAGAATGCTAATGTGTATATTGTTGATTTTCATCTTAAAAGGTGCTGCTGATTGTTGTTACATAGTGTGGCTTAAAAACTAGGTGTGTGACCTACAGATATTTTCTCAAATTGAGTATGCTTTTATGACCTCTGGTTGATAGGAACAGCCACTATTGGCAGAATCCATGCGATTGCCCTCCCACACCCTACCTCCCACACTCTTCAAAGACTGATTCTTTGCTTGAAAATGGGTCAAATGATTTTAAGAGGTCAATATAATATATAGTACTTACATCTTGGAAACTGTGTCTTAAGCATGTGTTTTCAGTCATACATAGTTCATTAAGAATGTAAAAATCCAACTTGGTAATGGGTATATACAGTTCAGGGGAACAGATTTGTTGAGGTTATGGTTTCATATTAATAAATTGGCTATTTTCCAAGTTGTGTTGGTGATAGGCTTTCCATTTCCTGTCCGGTGACATGTTGGTAATAATTTTCAGACCACTCAGGAAGCCAGATTTGATCTCTGTGGTGGGTCAGATATCAAAGCAGTATCCTGTGGCATTTGGCCACTCTCACTGCTTTGTAGAACTTTCATCTGAGTTTCTAGTCAAACTTGTCTGCAGCAATCTAAAACATATGATGTAATAAGTGTTAATATTTATTGAGCAATTTCTGTGGTTTTGGATCATTTCTAAGTGTTTTTTGTGGATTATTTCAATTATCACACGAACCCCAGGAAATTGGTATGTTGTTTTCCTATTATACAGTTGTGGAAACTGAGGCACAGAGGATTTAATTAACTTGCCCAAGGTTTCAGTAAGTGTCACAACTGGCAGTATGATTTCAGAGCTCTCGCTCTCAATGGCTGTGCTATATTTCATGTAAGACAGCCAAAATGTTTGAAGAAAAGTTAGGATGAGAGGTATGGCACCATAGGTTCATTTATTTTTCAATTATAAAAGTAATGTAAAATTACAGAAACTCTGGAAAATAAATTTTGAAACCTTCATTCTACTATAATAAACTCTTTTTGTGTGTGTTTTTTCATACCCACATTCACACGTGTGTAGAAACGTTGTGGCTGTGATTCATTTTTATTTATTTATTTATTTATTTAAAGATTTTATTCATTTATTTGACAGAGAGAGACACAGTGAGAGAGGGAACACATTTGATTTTTAAAGATGAATATTCTTCACTTAAGTATAAAATGTAGGATCAAGCCATGCAGGGAAACTGCCCATTTGCATTGCTGAAATACAGAGAGATTTGATCTGCATCTTTGACTGGAACCAGTTAAATAAGTATATTTTTTGCCCTCTTGAGAAGTATTCGAACAGTTTGTCTTGTACAATCATAAAAATTACTTAGTTTTCAAAGTCTAAGTCTTCCACATCATCTTTTTATTGAATTATTGTTTACCTTTCTTTTTTCTTACAGTCTAAGCCTTATATTTGTGTGTATTTTTACTTTTGAAATTATCTAGTACTTAACTTTTGAATGGTGCCAAAAAATTTTATGAATCTAGGAAACTTTCTTCAGAGAAAACATCTACTTCTTTGGGAGGGTTATTCATTTAATACTTTTTTTTTTTGAAGAAAAACATAAGCACAACTATTTGGACATGGAGCTAACTTAATAGAGATAAAATATCAAGTAATATTGCTTTTGGGAGAAATCAGTTTCATTATTGTCATATCTTGTACATATGTGGTGACGATTTGTATCAGAATAAATACTTTCTTACTACTGTGATGTTCTCACCTAAGTTTTGTGACGTTGTATGGGGTGGAGGGGTCATTCTTAGGTAAAATAAATTTGAGAAGCTTTTCATAAATTTTGTTCATGAAGTTAGTGTTTACCACACATTTTCTCAAGAGCCTTTCCTATGCTGTTAGCCATTACAATTCTAGAATGGGGTATGCTGTATTACCCAAACTTATTTGACTCTGAAATCTTTTACTGGACTTGTATTCTGTGCACATACTCATCTTCAAATATTGTGTTGTCTTCTTGGCTCCGTAGCTTGATTCATGTCAGTAGTTTTGCTTCAGTTAACTTCTCCCATGTCTGCCCCATAAAATCCCACTTATCTTTTAAGGTCAAACTCAAGTGTGTCTCTTCCAGGGAAGGCTTCTCACCATCAGTCACACTGGGATGAGAGCTCTTTTTTTCCGAGGTCTTATAACTACTGGTGTCTTCTCTGACATCTCTCATGTATTGCTTTTTATTGTACAGCTATATATTACCTTCTAGGGAAGTATTACACTATCCCTTTTGAGGACAGTATGTAATGCAGTTTATGCTGAACTTGACTGAAAGCTGTAAGGCCTATGCAAACATGATGACATTAATCAATAAAAATTGTGTTTAGGGGCACCTGACTAGCTCTGTCAGGAGAGCATTGCTTCATTTTGATTGTTGACCAGTACTTAGCAATAGCTAGAATAGTTATATGAGATGTTTAAAGAAAGTATTAACATGAAAATGCTCCTTATACACAAATGGTTAGATCAGTCAGCGTTTTACTTCTCTGCCGTCATTGCTTATGAAACTTTTATCCATCTCTCTAGTTGCTAATATTTGGGATTTTCTTCCCCTTTTTCACTGAGATTGTGCCTTTTTTTCTATTTAGCTTACTAGCTAGCCAGATAGCTGACTGATATACCTTTGAAACTTAGCCATGGCCCTTAGTCCTACCTAGTCTCCTTTACAAGAGAGGCAAAACTTTGTTGGGAGCTATGGAAAATTGGTGTACCTACCTCGGGCTGTGTGAGTCCCTTAGCCACAAGTTTACAGGGTCTTCCTATTTCTGCTCCCACCCCCCAATTCTGGGGGTGTTCTGCTTAGAGTATGCAGTTTGGGTACTAGATTGGTGTACTAAATGAAGGTAACCATTTCCTTCATTGTAGTCTGGCCCAATAGAACTAAAGCCTAGATGTGGAATGCTATAGTTGGAAAGAACACTGTGATCTTAAGTCCCATAAGATGTAGGAGACTGAAATTTGTTTCTTTCAACTGTTTTGAATCAATTAGTCAAGACAGAAACCTAGCAGATATCTTAGATTTTTTTTCTTCACTGTTCCTCACAATTTGTTAGTTACCATGTCCTCTTAAATACTTCTCAGAATTCTTTTTACTCCATATTGTGATGTCTTAGGTTATTTATGCCTTCAGTATCTCATATTTAGGGTTGTTCGAGGTTCTACTGGAATTAGGGTCACCTAACTCCCCTTTCAGTCTCTTGCTCTTCTATCTTCCATACTGCTGCTACTGTTGGTTTGCTAAAATCCATACTTGGTCATATGGTTTGTCTTAAAAACTCTTAATGGTTTCTCATGTATATAAATGAGTAAATAAGTTCTTTAGCACAATGTATGAGCTCTTGCCTTTATGACCTGGCCTGTGTCCACCTCTCCAGCTACTCTCCAGTTACTTACCTCTTATTTAAGCTACCCAAGCAGGTTTTGTTATTATGCTGCTGTGTTTTTGCATGTACTTTTTTTTTCTTTCTGTATTGACTTTTCACCTCATAGTTAGCCCAGTTCACTCATCCTAATCCTTCAATACTCAGCTTAAACATTCCCTTTATTAAATATTCACAGACTTTTCTAAGTAGCATGCTTATTCCTTTTCAGTGTTATCAAATACCTTGTATATACCTCTCCGTTGATATTTGTCATACCATACTGTAGTTATTTGTATGTCTTTTACCTTCACTGCTTTGGGAATAGGGACCATATTTTACTCATTACCTCAGTACCTGGCTTTGTGCCTGGTACATGATGGGTACTCAGTAAATGGTTGTCAAATAAATTAATAAGTGATTCCAAAAACTAATTTTGGCTATGAGGGAGATGATCCTGTAAGCTGAGATAGGGAGTGTAGGAGGACAAGCAAGTTTGGGGCAAATATTTATTCAGCTTCAGTTTTGTTGAATTAGAGTTTGCATATAGCATCCAAGTAGAGATGTGCCATTTGTTTTTTATGCATTTGTTATTTATTCATGGTATAAATATTAACTGCCCCAGCAAGATTTTGTAGATCTAGATAAGATTATAAAATTTATATGGAAAGGCAAAGAAACTAGAACATATAAAGCAATTTTAAAAAATAAGAATAAAGTGTGACAAATTAATCTATCCAATTTCCAGGCTTATTTTAGAGCTAGAGTAATTGAGACTAT